AGTCATAAGCTTTCTGATTTAGAATCCCAAAGTATAAGTGAGAGTGCCCCCTGCTGAAGGATTTGGGACACTCAACCCCAAAACTGAAATACAGCCTGAAGATTCAAGTTTGGAAATAAATAAAATATTGTTATTAGTTTTGTGTATGTGTTTTTCAGACAGTGAGTGTGTTTACATGCACATCAATAACCCGGTTATGATCGGGTTTTTTGAGTATCCCGGTTTCTTGATGGTGCATGTAAACGCAGTAACCCGGTTTCAGTAACCCGGTTATGGCAGTATCCTGGTTATTAGAAACCGGGTTACTGTAGCTGGTTTATTCTGATAGTAACCGGGTTACTTGTGGCATGTATACGCAGTATCCCGGTTACTGCAACATAAAGTTGAGTGCGCATGCGTCCAAAAGACACTTTCCAGCCTCTCAACACAACAGTAGTGACATAAATAAATTGACCAACATAAATAAAGTGACCAAACGAGTGAAATGACTGTAAAATAAAGAGCTGCGCTAAACCTGCACATGTACAATCTGCACTCGTACGACCTGCACTCGTGTGACGCTGAAAACTAAAACATGAACTATCTCCTATACTCTATACGCACGGAACACACTTACCATCATTAGCGCCTCTTCTGTCACAGAAATAACACACATAATCCACAGAGTCGTGTCATTTAGTCCAAAAAAAAACTGATCGCATCAGCGGCGCAAGGAGCGAGTTGTTTTTATCGCCGCTAGCAGTTTATGCTAATTAGCCAAACGGTCTTAAGTTTCGTTTCTGTAAAACGTAAACAAATGTGATCACAGCTGAATGATCTGATCAAACGGGCTGATGTGTCTATAGTGTTTATGGTTTATATGTTGTAAAGTTGAGTTTATTTATGCAGAAGATTTTAATGAAGAATCTGCACAGTGGATTGTGGGAGATCTCGTAGCTCCTTAGCTTCTTATGCTAAAGAAGCTCGCGGTTTGTATTTTTCCTGGTTTATGAAATTGATTTAAGTTAATTTTTGCGCCTGCGCATTTGTAAGATTATGTCAAGAAACCGGGATACTCCATTTGATCATGTACACGCGGATATGAGTGTCCCGGTTTCTCAGTGCTCATGTAAACACAGTAACACGAACACTGACAGAACCGGGATATGGATAATAACCGGGATACTGATGTGCATGTGACGCACTCAGTGGTGTGTGTAGTGTACCTCTGGAGGTTGGGGTCCACTGCAGTTTGACTATTTGTTTAATTTGAAAACTGTTATATTTTTGTTTTGTCCTCATTTGGATTACACAGTATTTAGACCTGCCTTATCTCGCATTTAGTCTCATTTTAGACCTGGTTTAGTCTCACTTTAGACCTGATCAAGCCCTAATTTAGACCTGATGTAGTCCAGGTTTAGATCTGGTCCTTGGAAAACCAGTGTTGTTGTCAAAACTGCACTAATCAAGACCAAGACCAGTCCGAGACCACAGGATCCAAGACTTTTAAATGTCGAGGCTGAGACCACGGCCCATCGAGACCAAATCGAGGTCATCTTTGTAATTTTCGACATTTATTTGTATTTTAGAGTTATTTTGGCACAAATATATTAATGTTTTTTTTATAAATCTGTCTCCATTTTATCTGATAAATGTTTATTTAGACTTAAATAAGCCAAACAAACAGTGCACAGAAACACCCTCACCCACACTTTGAGAATCCCTTTTTGAAGAGAACTTCCACTGACACTTTACACAAAACGGTGAAGAAAGTGGGTAGGATTTTTAAACCTGTTTTCCTAATTGCCGATAACCTCAAACCTGGAGTCCGAGACAAAACCAAGTCCAAGTGTCTTCAAGACCAAGACAAAACCGAGTTCAAATGCACTGGAGTCCGAGACGAGACCAAGACAGTAAAAAAACGATGTCGAGATTCAGACCGGTCTCAGGTACTACGACACTACGGAAAACCAAACCTCTGTGGTAGTTGTTGTGAATCCGTGTGTCATTCGTTCATTCGTTTTTCATTATAAAACCAAAAATAAGTAAACAAATAATCAACTGTTTTCTTCATTATTTGTTTCCAAAACCAATTATTTGTTTTTTCAGTTTTCGATTTTGTGTTTAAATGAAAAATGGAAAAAAGCGGATGACGGACGTTTCCCGTTTACGTGACTCCAGTGACTGCGATGTCGGACTTTTGCGCTGCATAAGGACTGAACCAGGACTGATCCAGGTCCGGGACCAGAGTGAGACCAGACCGGAGGCTCAGAGCCCACGTCAGCCCCGCGGAGGCTCGAAGTCAAAGCTCGGAGTTCCCTCTGGTCTCGGTCTCAGTCCCGGTCTGGTCCCGGACCTAGATTAGTCCTGGTTCAGTCCATATGCAGCGCAAAAGTCCAACATGACAGTCACGAGAGTCACGTAAACGAGAAACGGCCGTTCTCCGTTTTTTAACATTTTTCATTTAAACACAAAATTGAAAACTGAAAAAATGAATCATTATCTGTTTTTTTCATTTTGGTTTTGGAGACAAATAATGAAGAAAACTGTTGTTTTTTTCGTTTTCTTATTTTTTGGTTTTATATTGAAAAACAAATGAACGAACGACACACAGATTGTTGTGAAACGTTCCTCTGTGTTTGGAACAGAAGCAGCCTGTGTGATCATTTCACTACGTGTACAGTCACTGCTCTGTTAAACCAAACCCCACTGGACTGAATTAAAACTATAGTGTGCAGCAGATCAGCAATAACACCATCACCTCTCACCTTTGACCTCTGACCTCTGACAGCACTGAATCTGTAACTGAATCTATAACTCTTGGTTCTCACTTACATATCCTGAACAAACTGGTTTGAATATTTGCTTCATATAGTTTTCTACCATATGGTACAAGATTAGGTTGAAAAACCTCTTACTTTTTGACTCATGAGATTTTTTATTAAGAAAGTTCATGGTAACGGAGGGAAAAGTAACGGAGGGAAAATTGTACAAACAAGTAGAAGGTGCAGGATTTTACATCATTTGTCACTTTTTTTTTCTGAATATTTTAATATTACTTCAAAATGAAAGAAACTATTTCTATAAAATATGTCAGTCCTTCCAAGAACATTTTTATCATTTTAAATACATTTTTTTTTTAAATCCTGTCCCTTCATCAACAGTTCAAAGATGGAATAACACAAGATATGATGAAATACATCCATTTATTTACATGATTTTCAGGTCTTTGAAATCTGGGAAATAATTTTTGTTCCATGTTTCATACATGGTCTGTTTAAAACGGATGGAACTTTAGAACCAAAAATGGTAACAGAAAAAAGGTCAACAGTTTCATAAACTAGAGCACATATGTATCTGTTCAATACATTTTTATATCAGATGAATTAACTTGAATTTTTGGCCTTGATGTTTACTTCTGCTTGACCGGGTTCATAAAATAAAATAGAATAGAACAGAAGAGAATAGAATAGAAAGCCTTTAGTGTTATTAGTATAATGAAATTCAGAGCTGCTCCATCAAAGTGTAAGAATTAATAATAAATAAAACAAATGAACAGTTCTCATTCAGTGTGGTGACAGTTTTGGGGAAGAAACTGTCCCTGAGTCTGTTGGTCTTCGCTGGAATAGAGTCTTTGCACCATCACGTGACTCCTATAACAACAGTAACTACGCCGCCATGACACCGGGCAACACTATGTCACTGACTTCAGCAGCATCAGAGAAACATGGGCAGGTTTTGTTGTGTATTTGGTTGTTCTAGACGCTCTGAAAGGGATAAAATAATTCGTTTCTTCACTGTTCCTCTGGAAATGATTCATCAGGATCAAACAAGGGAATTATAGAAAAAAAGACGCAGATTATGTCTAGAGAACATAAACCACGAATAGATTTCCTGTGGTACCATCAAGACACACTCACGTCACTTTCATCAAGGTATTTGTTATTTAAATTGTTTCATAGTTTATTTAATGAGAGAAGCACATTTACTGAACTAAAATGTAAAAAGAAAACATTTGCAGTGTGAGTGGGAGTAGAAACTGGATCTTCCAGCGCACATATAAACATGTCACTCGTCGTAGGACCATGTTTTCTTTATTGTCTTGTTTATCCACAACTTTGTCTTCTAGAATTTATCGTTTTTGAGAGTGGATCTTTCTAACGTTGGCGAGGATCTTTTCATGGTCGATTCTTTCGAGGTTCGGCTCACAGACTCTTCGACTCGTGCGTCGTGTTGATCACAGGAGCCCAGTGTGGGTTCGTTGAATTGTAAACTAGTGCGGGTTTTCCTGGATAAAATAATGAGGTGGCTCGGGCATCTGTTCCGGATGCCTCCTGGGCGCCTCCCTCGGGAGGTGTTCCGGGCATGTCCCACTGGGAGGAGGCTCCGGGGAAGACCCAGGACACACTGGAGGGACTATGTCTCTGGGCTGGCCTGGGAACACCTCGGGGTTCCCCCGGAGGAGCTGGAGGACATGTCTGGGGTGAAGGAAGTCTGGGAGTCCCTGCTTAGACTGCTGCCCCTGCGACCTGGCCCCGGATAAGCGGACGAAAATGGATGGATGAATGGATGGACATATATGCACACTTTGAATTTTTTTAACTCTGAAAAAAACATGTTTGAATTTATTTATTATTTATTTTTTTTTTGTTAATTTGAAAAAAAATAATAATAATTTGAAAAAAAAAAAGGTGAGGTGATTTTCTACAAGCACAGACTTTTGCGGTAAGTAAAAATAAATACATGAAAAAAAATAAATGAAAAAAATAAATGAAAAAAATACATGAAAAAAATAAAATAACATACAATAATAACAACATAAAAACACGAGAAAAAAACTGAAAAATAAAATAAAATAAAAACAAATTATAAAACATATTACCGTTCTATGCTCCTCTGTGGACACAAGATGGCGGCCGCGTCCTCCGCTCCCCTCCGCGGTTCAAATCTCCCTCCGCGGCCTCGTCACGGCCTCTCCCCGGACAATGACGACTTCCTGCGGGCTGTCCGACGCCGACCGCTCCGCCGCCAACCTCGGCTCGGATCCTGGGTGTACGGAAGGAAGGGGAAAGTATCGAAGCGGGCCGAAGAGACGTGCAGCTCGTAGTCATGCCCCGGAGAGCGTTTTTGGGCTGATTTTGGGACTGTTTTTCGGCACAGAAGACGCGGCCGGATATCGGTGAGTTTGTTGTTTTGGTTTGGGATTTTTTTTCCCAAGTAGCTGCGCAAGCCCGATACGTGTCACTTTGGAGAAACGTCATCCCAGACTTGGTTGCAAATACCCAAAATTTCGTCGTATTTAAACTATATTTCCAATTTGGACGCGCTTAAGATAAAAATAAACACATTTTCTAGCAAATCATGAGGTCACCTTCCATTCGGGTTACATTTAAGTCAATTTACAGAGCATTTATTACTGTTTATTAGCAGTTATTTAAAAGAAAATATAATCCATAAATGTTAAGCGCCTATTTACCATTACCTTGAAACTTTTTAATTAACTTTCTTTGTTTATTCTTCAGACTTTTCCACTGGTTTGCCGTTTTAGGGTGTAACTTTTGAGACCTTTCAAGGATATGTCAATCAATGCTTTTTAGTCTTTGGATAATCTCCAAAGTAAACTCAACTGACCTGTTACTTTCTAGGTTTGTTGACAGTGACTTCCACGTACATTTTAACTACAAAACGTGGCATTTTTAATTTTTTTTAAACTAAATTTCATGGTCTAGTTTGAGATTTAGGGCAAGAGTAAAGTGTTTTGATTCATAATGACATTGTGCAACTTGAGGTAATTATCATACCTCTGTCTGACCTCATCTGCCCCTTCAGTTTTTCTGTTTATCAGTGAAAAGTGGTGATTTTTTTGCGTCTTCTCGCTGGACTTAAACGGCTTTTGTGGATCCATTTTTAATTAAAAAGCGTCGCGGCCTGCCCTCACCTCCAAACGCACACGGAGCCAGATTTTTCAGATGTTTTGAGTCACTAGTCCACTACTGGAATGTAAAGCAGCAATTCCAGTCCAAAGACGAGTCTGCGGCGGCTCGGCGATGTCTCTTCACGCAAAGATGGAAACTATTAGACGGTTCAGGGATATAAATAAATAAATTCTGACTCATATTGGCTGAACGGGTTCTTAGTCATGTGGGATTATGCTGACATGTTTTGCAATGTCCAGGAGCGTTAAGACTTAAAGACTGAAATCCTTTTTTTCCTATTGAAGGTCATTAATTAAAGTAGATTTTCAGAGTCCAACATCTGCGTGTGCACGTGACTTTCTTCGTAAATGTTCCACAGTACGGCATTAAACGTTCCTGTACGCAGTATTGATATTTTTACTGGTAAATAATACATTGAAAAACATGCATTCCTGCTGTGAGCGACTTCAGCTTTCCGCAGATCTGACCTGTAACACGATAGGGCTGGGTATCGTTATGAAGCTGCCGATACGATACATACCTCGATACATAGGCCACGATACGATACACACTTTTATACATAGGCCACGATACGATACACGCCTCGATACATAGGCCACGATACGATACACACTTTTATACATAGACCATGATACGATACATAGGACGATACAGATACACACTCGATATACGGCCACATACGATACACGCCTCGATACATAGGCCACGATACGATACACACCTCGATACATAGGCCACGATACGATACACACCTCGATATACAGGCCACGATACGATACACGCCTCGATACATAGGCCACGATACGATACACACCTCGATATACATAGGCCACGATACGATACACGCCTCGATACATAGGCCACGATACGATACACACCTCGATACATAGGCCACGATACGATACACACCTCGATATACAGGCCACGATACGATACACGCCTCGATACACAGGCCACGATACGATACACACCTCGATACATAGGCCACGATACGATACACACCTCGATATACAGGCCACGATACGATACACGCCTCGATACACAGGCCACGATACGATACACACTCGATACATAGGCCACGATACGATACACACCTCGATACATATAGCCACGATACATACACACCTCGATACATAGGCCATGATACGATACACACCTCGATACATAGGCCACGATACGATACACACGTTGATACATAGGCCACGATATGAGACACACCTCGATATACAGGCCACGATACGATACACAGCTCGATACATAGGCAACGATACGATACACACTTTTATACATAGTCCATGATACGATACATACCTCGATACATAGGCCACGATACGATACACACCTCGATACATAGGCCACGATACGATACACGCCTCGATACATAGGCCACGATACGATACACGCCTCGATACGTAGGCCACGATACGATACACACCTCGATACAGTGCTTTTTCGGTTTGATACGATATATTTCAAATCAATTCGATACGGTTCGATAAAAAATAAAGGCTAATTCATGGCTGTGACACTAAAAGTCTTTGTGAAACCACTTTTTATGCAAAGTTCATATGAAACACAAACATTTTAATCCTGAAAACAGTGAAAATGTCAAATGTGTCGTATAAATGAGTTTTTTTTCCTCTAAACAAGCAACAAAACTGTAGCTGTAACAATAATTTAGTAAAATAAACCAAAAAATACTCTTGCTGATATATCGATACAGCAGCCCACGATATCGATACTGTATCATTACATTAAACGATACGATATATCGATATTTTGATATTTTTGCACAGCCCTATAACACGACTTGATAGTGTAATTTCTTTGTTTCCATGGAAATCGAGGAGATTAAGATTCACTCCCAACCTTCAAATCCAAACTCAAAACCCGTTTACTTAAATTACCGACCTTCATTAACGTCCTGATGTTTTAGAACTCGTCCTGTTTGATCGTTTTTAATTACGTGTCTTAATTGTTTTTTGTACGATGTCCTTGAGTGCCCAGGAAGGTGCTTTGAGATAAAATACATTATTATTATTATTATTATTAGAAATACTGTACTGTGGAACATTTCCGACAAAATGGTAACATGTCTAGAAGAGAAGCGTGTGACCAGTGTTGGGGAGTAACAGATTACATGTACCGGAGTTACTGTTTCAGTGAGCGGTAATTGGATTACAGTTACTTTACTGAAATAAATGGATTACAGGGCGGTATTTTCCTGTTTTCACATTTTGGGCTAAACCAGGACTAAAAGCAGGACTAAAGGAGGACTAAACCAGGTCTAAAACCAGGTCTAAAAAGGACTAAAGCAGGACTAAAGCAGGACTAAAGCAGGACTAAAGCAGGACTAAAAGCAGGACTAAAGCAGGACTAAAAGCAGGACTAAAGCAGGACTAAACCAGGTCTAAAACTAGGACTAAAGCAGGACTAAAGGAGGACTAAACCAGGTGTAAAACCAGGTCTAAAAGCAGGACTAAAAGCAGGACTAAAAGCAGGACTAAAAGCAGGACTAAAGCAGGACTAAACCAGGTCTAAAACTAGGACTAAAGCAGGACTAAAGGAGGACTAAACCAGGTGTAAAACCAGGTCTAAAAGCAGGACTAAAAGCAGGACTAAAAGCAGGACTAAAAGCAGGACTAAAGCAGGACTAAAGCAGGACTAAAACCAGGACTAAAACCAGGACTAAAGAAGGACTAAAGCAGGACTAAACCAGGACTAAACCAGGTGTAAAACCAGGTCTAAAAGCAGGACTAAAAGCAGGACTAAAAGCAGGACTAAAGCAGGATTAAAGCAGGACTAAAAGCAGGACTAAAGCAGGACTAAAGCAGGACTAAAAGCAGGACTAAAAGCAGGACTAAAAGCAGGACTAAAAGCAGGACTAAAACTAGGACTAAAACCAGATCTAAAAGCAGGACTAAACCAGGACTTAAAGCAGGACTAAAGCAGGACTAAACCAGGACTAAAGCAGGACTAAACCAGGTCTAAAAGCAGGACTAAAGCAGGACTACACCAGGACTAAACTAAGACTAAACTAGGACTAAAACCAGGTCTTAAACCAGGACTAAACCAGGACTAAACCAGGACTAAACCAGGACTAAACAATATGACACTAACAGAGTGAACATAGTTTAAGGCAGCAGTGATCTCATATAAAAATCATTTCTCTATCAATAATATTTTTTATATGCTTAAGTAAAGACTGGACTTTTTATTTTCTTTTAGCAGGAGAGTAGTAGCTTTTTAAGTCTAAATCACGGCTGTGATACTAAAAGTCTTTCAATCCTCAAAACAGTGAAAATGTCAAAATGTTTCCTGAGTTTCCTTCCTCCAACCAAACAACAAAACTGTAGCTGTAACAAAATAATTTATTAAAATAAACCAAAAAATACTCTTGCTGATATATCGATACAGTAGCCCACAATATCGATACTGTATCATCACATTAAACAATACGATATATACCGATATTTCTATATTTTTGCACAGCACTAGTGTTTACATTCAAGCGTTTTACTCACTGTACACACATTTATATATTGTATTTATTTATTATTGATACCAGCCTTTTGCTGTTTCTACTTTTTATTGCTGCTTATTTAGAAGTTCATTACCATTTTTTTTGTTTTGTTTTTTTGTTATTGTAATAAAATGTGATGTGTGAGCTCCACCGTCCAAGTCATTTCCCTCGAGGATCAATCAAGTTTGTCTAAGTCAAAGTCAAAGAAACATCAGAACTCTGAATGACACATGTGGAATGTAGTGAACAAAAACCTGAAAAGGGTTTGCAGCGCTGTCGACAAAGCAAAGGGTGGAAACTTTGAGCAACTGAACATAAATTATTAAGGCTGTGCAATTAATTTAAATTCTGATCATGATTTCGATTTGTGTGTCAAACGATCTCCAAACTCATATAATCCAGTTGAAACGCTAAAGTTTAACAACGTTTATTTGGGATATTTTATATAAATAAGTATATTTATTTCATTTTTTTAATAGCTGGATATACAGTTTATTTTGGGCACATTTTTTTTTCTATGCCTTATTTCATGTGCAAAGTATATTTTATTCATTTTATGTTTTGTACGTCGTAAAACTGCTCTAAGATTCAGATTTGGTGCCTGAATTTATTTTCAATTTGATTTTATTTTGCGTAATATAAAACATATAAATTATTAAAGTTTGTATAGAGGATTTTTGAAGGTAAGAGAAATACAGCGACAGTATTTTTTCAAATGTTGTGCATGCGTGACACCACCTTCCTCCTCCACAGCCTCAGTAGAAACATCTCCTCCCGCCTCTTTACTCTAGAAATCACGTTTGTTTACAGCCGTGTGCGAATTACCGCTGAAGTGACGTGTCTAGAAATAATTTAGTGACCGACGCTTCAGTTTTTAGACCCTTCGTCTGCTTGATTCGCGCCATCGCTGGAAGAGATCTCCAAGAATCACCTCAGTTTGTCTTCGCTCCTTTTCCCCTTCTCTTCTTCTTTCAGCGACCTCAAAAACCGACTTCCTTTTGCGGCGAACTGGTCGTGGATTCTCGTCCGACATCGCGACAAACTTTGCGCGAAATGTGAGGAAGCGACAGTTTGAAAAAGCCTCTAAGAACCGCTGCATAAACCACGAAATCCCCGCGCGCCGGCGAGTCAGTTACACTAGAAATGTAGGGAGTTTGATTGACAACCTGACAGCCAATAGATAAAGAGGGAGTCTTGTTTTCTATTGGCTGATGTTTATCTGGCCTCAACACGTCCACAGTTGATGGATTTTCATATTTTTTTTTTTTTTGGTCATCATAATTCCAAGGCTGCTGAGTCTCTGTAATGGTGTTTTAAACCTTCACTGACAATTTGAAAAAAAAATAAAAAAATCCTCCATACAACCTTTAATAACAAAGCGTTTTTTGTTTTTTTTTGAGAGGGGGAACTGCTGAATAAATACATTGTGTAACTAAAAAAATAATAGTTTGAATAATCGTGATTTCAGTCATGATGGTGTTTTTTTTTGTTGTTTTTTTTACATAATCGAGCAGCTCTATAAATCATTGTTGTTTTATTCTTGTATTTTCTTTGTTGTGTAATTGCACACAGCTGGCATCAGGTATTTGATGTTTTGATAAGTAGAAATAAGGTGTGTGCACAGTTTGGACAGGTGTAGTGTGAATACCGACTCAATCGTCCTGTTCTCTCAGCGGGATCATCCCCCTCCTCCCTTCAGCTTCTGTAACATTACAAAACGAAACCTGAATGTACCAGACCAAATGTGGGGCCTTGTTTATGTCATGTTACGATTTTCCTGAAGCCGCACAAATTTTTTCAGTTTATAATATCAATATAATCTTCATTTGCTCACAGAAGCTTACTATGAAATCGTATTTTAAAAATGTTTTTCTTGTTCTTGTCCTACATCGTCTGTAACTGTTCATTTGGGAAGAAATATTAATTATTTCCATACCTGCTGCCATGAACATAATTTGTAAACAGAGCAACACAGGAAACTTGGAAAGCTACAAAATTTGTCCAAGAATCATTCAGAATCAATTTTAGGAAAGTTTTAACTCTGTGCTTCATTGAAATATGTAAAATCAAATCCTGAAATAGTTACCTGGGAGGAATTTTCTAAGACAAGTGCTGGCCCCGCCCAACCTGCCACCTGACCACACAGAACCAGCATTTATTTTCTACTAAAATATTTTAATTAAATTTGAATTATATTTTCTACTAAAATATTTTAATTATATTTCCTACTAAAATATTTTAATTATATTTTCTATTAAAATCTTGTTAATTTTCTGTGGTGTTTATCACAGCAGCGTCTCTGTACGTGGCCCCTCCCACCAGAGCAGCACAAATGAAGACTTGTCTCTTTCCAAACGCTCTTAAAGGACGATCGTTTTGACTGTTGACCGTGACACCCTCATCAGAAAAATGTCCAACATGAGAAAAGTGGAGCCGAGTGCAGGATTTTACAACAAAAATTGACTTATTCCTGTTTACATACAAGTTCATGTTAAAACTTTGTGTTGAAATTGTATTTTTCTTAAAGTTTCAGGTTGTTCATAATATTATAATATTTTGTAAAAGAAAGAGTTCATCAATTAAAAAAGATTTCTGTAATAGATTTGTACAGAAGCCCAGAGGCGTCACAACAAACGCAAACGCCGCAACAAATACAAACGCCACAACACAAACACAAATGCCACAACACATTAAAAAGCCACAACACATTAAAAAGCCACAACACATTAAAAAGCCACAACACATTAAAAGCCATAACACATTAAAAAGCCGCAACAGAAGTGATCGCTGGACTCTATTTTCCGACGGACCGATCAAGCGGCAAGTGAACAAGAAGAACTACAACATGAAACGAATAATGATAAAACAATAAATTACTTTAACTTACGTTTCCAACTTCTCCGTTCCTTTACTTTTCACGTTGTAGTTCTTCTTCTTCACTTGCCGCTTGATCGGTCCGTCGGAAAATAGAGTCCAGCGATCACTTCCGTTGTGGCTTTCTGTTTTGTTGTCGCATTTGTATTTGTTGCGGCGTTTGCGTTTGTTGTGACCCCTCTCGGCTTCCGTAGATTTGCGTTTCTCTCCACAAATATTTGAACTTATTGTTATTTTTGCGGTTTATATGACATGAGTTTTCTGATCCGGCCTCATTAGTTCTGCAGATGGACTGAGGAAAGTTTTGGCAATTAATAATTATAATTTTTCTAATACAATATTTATAATGGAAAAATGTTGGTTTCGTCTCATTTTTTCATTTATATCTATATAGATTGACTAACTTAGTTTCATAAAGGGCACAGTTCAGCGGGACCTTCCAGCCAGAGGGACTTTCCAGCTGATTTCCATATCCCCTCTAACTCTCTAACTGTGTGTGTTTTGTTGTGTTGTAGGAGTCAGGAACATGAGCGCCGCCGCCACCACCTCAGGATCTAAAATGGACGCTCTGAACGGGCCGAACCCCAAACCCAACGGGCCCGTTCCTGCCCCCCGCTCCAACCCCCCCGCCCCCGCCTACAACCCCAACGCCCCGCCCCTCCCCGAAGAGCTGGGGCAGGAGGACCCCCTGGCCTCCCTCACCGACGTCTCTCAGATGTGGATGAAGTTCGGCAAGACGTTCCTGGTGATCCTGCCCATCTACATCCTGGGATACTTCGAGTTCAGCTTCAGTTGGGTCCTGGTGGGACTCGCCGCGCTCTTTTACTACAAGAGGAACCACAGCGAGCAGGACAATCGCATCAACCGCGCGCTCAAGTTTCTGGACCACGAGGAGAAGGTCACCAAGAGGAACGCCGCCGCTGCTCAGCTGCCTCCCTGGGTAAGTGTGTCGGAACCCCGATTGTGACGAGTGTTGGTTCAGTTCAGAGTAGGTTTGGGCGGTATCGAAATTTTGATACCGTGATACCGTCTCAGGATTTTACTGGGGTATATGGTATTACCGTACCGAAGATTTTACTGAACTGGACATCGACTTCCAAACGTTGGTTCAGCTGATCAGTGAGTGCGTTTACATGCACATCAATAACCCGGTTATGATCGGCTTTTTTGAGTATCCCGGTTTCTTCATGGTGCATGTATACGCAGTAACCCGGTTTCAGTAACCCGGTTATTAGAAACCAGGTTACTGTAGCTGGTTTATTCTGATAGTAACCGGGTTACTTGTGGCATGTAAACGCAGTATCCCGGTTACTGCAACATAAAGTTGAGTGCGCATGCGTCCAAAAGACACTTTCCAGTCTTTTCACCACAACAGTAGTGACATAAATAAATTGACCAACATAAATAAAGTGACCAAATGAGTGAAATGACTGTAAAATTAAGAGCTGCACTAAACCTGCACATGTACAATCTGCACTCGTGTGACGCTGAAAAACTAAAACATGAACTATCTCCTGTACAACACACACACAGAACAGACTCACCATCATCAGCGCCTCTTCTGTCACAAAAACAACACACATAATCCACTGAGTCGTGTCTTTTAGTCCAAAAGAAGCTGAACTGCATCAGCGGCACAAGGAGCAGCTGTTTTTATCCCGCTAACAGTTTATGCTAATTAGCCAAACGGTCTTAAGTTTCGTTTCTGTAAAACGTAAACAAATGTGATCAGAGCTGAATTATCTGATCAAACAGGCTGATGTGGCTCTACAGTGTTTATGGTTTATATGTTGTAAAGTTGAGTTTATTTATGCAGAAGATTTTAATGAAGAATCTGCACAGTGGATTGTGGGAGATCTCGTAGCTCCTTAGCTTCTTATGCTAAAGGAGCTCACGGTTTGTATTTTTCCTGGTTTATGAAATTGATTTAAGTTAATTTTTGCGCCTGCGCATTTGTAAGATTATGTCTAGAAACCAGGATACTCCATTTGATCATGTACACGGGGATATGAGTGTCCCGGTTTCTCAGTGCTCATGTAAACGCAGTAACACGAACACTGACAGAACCGGGATATGGATAATAACCGAGATACTGATGTGCATGTGACGCGCTCAGTGTAATAAGACTGTTTACTGGTCATGATTGGCGCAGCTCCAAAACACATTTAGATCAGTTCTGTCATATTTTAGTTTTGTTTAAATTAAATAAATACTGTTTTCAGTCTCTGGTATTGGTTAATATCGGGTATCGGCAGATTCTTAAAGCTCTAGTATCGGAAGTGAAGAAACCAGATCGTTGTGTTTCTTGGTGCAACACTCTCATTTTCAAAAATATATTTTGCGAAAACAAGGCAGAACACTTTATTTTCTGTTGGTGGGTGCTTCATTTTTTTGGTGTAACCTGATAAAGACGTCAACAAATGTATTTTGTTCCAGTTTGAACATTTAATATCTTGTAGATGGTTCATCACAAAGGCTCAGTTTTAAACACAAAGTCCACAGTGTCGTGTGGGAAGGTTTTTGTCAGTCATGTCCAAACTCGGCCCTCACACAATTTTTTCTTGGCCCTCAGGCTTCCAGGAAAATTGGCCCAAATGCAGTGTTGTGGAGTAACAGATTACATGTACTGTTACTGTTTCAGTGAGTGGTAATTGGATTACAGTTACTTTGTTGAAATAAATGAATTACACGGCGGGATTTTCCTGTTTTCACATTTTGGCCTAAACCAGAACTAAAACCAGGACTAAACCAGGACTAAACCAGGACTAAACCAGGACTAAACCAGGTCTAAACCAGGACTAAACCAGGTCTAAACCAGGACTAAACCAGGTCTAAACCAGGTCTAAACCAGGACTAAACCAGGACTAAACCAGGTCTAAACCAGGTCTAAACCAGGACTAAACCAAGACAAAACCAGGTCTAAACCAGGACTAAACCAGGACTGAACCAGGACTAAACCGGGACTGAACCAGGTCTAAACGAGGACTAAACCAAGTCTAAACCACGACTTAACCAGTAAAAAACCTGGACTAAAAGGACAGTAAACAAAAGTCTGTTCATGGAGACTTGGGCTCAACAGAGAATTTGAAGAGAACAAACATGAATTTTCAGGATGTGGTTGTTACATTCATGTCATTTTAAAAAGCACGACAATATCAAGTAATCCAAAGTATTCAGATTACATTACTCACTTTAAGTAATTTAATGGATTCCGTTACAAACTACATTTACATACATTTGTAATCTGTAGGGGAATACATTTTAAAAGTAACCTTCCCAACACTGCCCAAATGACCTTGAATCAATTAAAAATACATTTTTTTGCTGCAAGTTTTTTGAAAATCTACCTCAATAAAGCGAATATCGAACATTTAGTGTTTGGTTTTAAGGCTCTTAGCGTGAATAAAGACTGACGGCTCATTCTAACGCAGGAGTGTCAAACTCATTTTGTTCCGGGGATGTCATATAAACCCCAAAAATAACAATAAGTTCAAATATTTGTGCAGAGAAACACAAATCTATCACAGAAATCTTTTTTAATTGATGACCTCTTTTTTATTATAAGTTTATAATATTATGAACACCCTGAAACTTTAAGAAAAATACAATTTCAATACAAAGTTTTAACATGAACTTGTCTGTAAACAGGAATAAGTCAATTTTTGTTGTAAAATCCTGCACTCGGCTCCACTTTTCTCATGTTGGACATTTTTCTGATGAGGGTGTCACGGTCAACAGTCAAAACGATCGTCCTTTAAGAGCGTTTGGAAAGAGACAAGTCTTCATTTGTGCTGCTCTGGTGGGAGGGGCCACGTACAGAGACGCTGGAGACGCTGCTGTGATAAACACCACAGAAAATTAACAAGATTTTAATAAAAAATTAAAATATTTGAGTCGAAAATCAGCTGAGGGCCAGATTAAAGGTCTTGGAGGGCCGGATCTGGCCCCCGGGCCGTATGTTTGACACCTGTGATCTAACGTGTTAAACCTGCACATATTTCAGTTATTCACTGTTTTGAGCTCCAGTCTACGGCCCTCGATCAGTCTCTGCTTCGTCTGTGTTCAGATATGTGGCCCTTGATGAAAAAAGTTTGGACTCCCCTGGGTTATGTTCAACATCAAACCTCTGTCTGTGAAACTGAACTTTCCACAGTCCTGCAAAGACGCCCTCAGATTTAAAGAGGAGAATTTTCGAGGAAACTCAAGCACATATAGAAGTACATTTGACAAATTTTAACCTTTGAAATTTTGAAGGACCAACCTTAATACATTTTTTAGATGCAGCAATCTGAAAGTGGCTCCTCCGAAAAACTCTGCTAAAAACAGATCAGGGAGGAACTGACAAAACATCTTTTAATGACAAAACTATCAGGAGTCGGGAGATAAAATTTGGGACTTTTCCAGTTGGAAAGTTTGTGAACCTCCTAGAATTTTATCAGTCCAATCTGAGATGGTTCGGGCGCGGCATTTGGAGATGTGGCGTGGAATGACCCTTTTAGTTTTGTTTAAAGGAAATTGATGCTGTTTTCAGTCTCTGCTCTGGTATTGGTTAATATCGGCAGATTCAGATATCGGAATCGTATCGGAAGTGAAGAAGCCGGATCGTTGCGTTCATTGTTGCTAAACTTAAAGCAACACTGTGGAATTTTCTGGAGGTGGCAAGTCTCCTGTGTGAGTCCACGGAAACAGAAACTTAAAGCCAAACTTCAGAACTGCTCAATTATGGAAAAAATCATCATCACGATTATTTTGGTCAAGATTGAAATCACGATTATTGAAGCGATTATTTTTTAGTTGCGCGATGCTTTTATTCAGCATTTCTCTCTCATAAAAAAAACCTTTGTTACTGATAATTTAGGCAAAACTATCAAATTGAAAATCAACCTTAGAGCAGTTTTGCGATGTATAAAACATAAAGTGAATCAAATCAGTGAAGCTGCGAGGTTTTCAATGTCTTAAAAACGTCCTAAATTTCATATTCCTAAATTAAGGCCTTATAAAGTCTTAAATTATGTTGCCCAAGTCTTATTTTTTTTTTTTCACAAAGGTCTTAAATTTCATTAGCCTTTTTTTTTGTTTACTCAGTTGGGCTGCAGTGCAAAGTTAAATGAAGGGAGGAAAAACAAAACAAAAAACAAACAAACAAATAAAAAAACCCTGACATCACGTAACATGAATGAACTAGACGTGTTTATTTTGGACCAAAACATGCACAAACAATACTTAGTTTCTCTTGTTAGAATTAAGTTATAAATGATTTTTTGGCCATTTTACAACCAATGAATGCGACTATAAATGAGTTCTGAATGAGATTTTATTATAAAAGTGTTTTTGTGATTTAAATCAGTAATAATGGTCATTATTAGATTTGGATCTGGTGTTTTTCGCCCGTACAATGGCTGCGATGTTGGTCTTCATTTTCATTGAAGTGTTCTTAAAAAGGTCTTAATAAAGTCTTAAATTTGGGGAAGTCAAACCCTGAAAATAAACTTTGAACATGAAATAATGCAGAAAAACATAAATGTGTCCAAAATAAACTATAAATCCGGTTACACCCTTATAGTCAGAAGTCCCACTAGTCAGAAAATCCTTCCCTCTTCTATTGGTTTGTCAGCAACATTTCTCTTGAACAGTTGAATGTATATTTGATGAAATCAACAGGGAATAATCTCTGGATGTCAGGGAAGAATGAGTAAACTTTTGGATGTTTACCAATTAAAAATGGCTGCAACATCAACATTTTTAGAGATATTGACAGGAAAACACATAATCATACATAACAGCATGAGCTAAGGCCAGCGTTACTTCATTTGTTGGTTTACAAACCCACCAATGCTTTATTAAAAGAAAAAGATTTAAAATAAAATTGAACTGAAGGTTGTAGAGCTTGAATTACTGAACATTTTACAAATCGTTATTAACCCTGTTCCACTTAAGACT